CCTGAAGCCTTGAAGACCTGAAGCCTGGCGACGACCTGAAGCCTAGTGACGACCTGAAGCCTTGAAGACCTGAAGCCTGGTGACGACCTGAAGCCTTGAAGACCTGAAGCCTAGTGACGACCTGAAGCCTTGAAGACCTGAAGCCTGGTGACGACCTGAAGCCTAGTGACGACCTGAAGCCTTGAAGACCTGAAGCCTAGTGACGACCTGAAGCCTTGAAGACCTGAAGCCTCTTCGTGTCTTCGCGTGTCTTCGTGTCTTCATATCTTCGCGTCTTCGGTGTCTTCGTGTCTTCGCGTGTCTTCGTGTCTTCGGGTCTTCGCGTGTCTTCGTGTCTTCGCGTGTCTTCGTGTCTTCGCGTGTCTTCGCGTGTCTTCGTGTCTTCGTGTCTTCGCGCAAAAGTCACAACCCGCTTCTGCCAACGCAATGGTTAGAATGCCATGTGGTTTCCCAAAATTTTTTGATGCCATGAGATAGAATGCCGTATTGAACGGGTTAGAATGCCGTATTGAACGTGCTTTTTAAAGAAAACCATGAGAAACACGTGCTTTTTTGCATGCTATTTGTGATGTATTGTACATTTAGAATGCTGGCTGATTCTAGGCGGTGCCCATTAACCTGTAACATAAAAAACACCGACAAAAACACGACAAATAACAATTGGAATGCCGCCTACAGGTCTTCAAAAAGGTTGGTTGGATGAATGGATGGATGGTCATGGATAGATGGAGATGGATGGAAGTGGGTGGGTGGGTGGATGGATGGATGGATGGATGGATGGATGTGGGTTTGTGGGTTTGTGGGTAGGTGGATGGATGGATATGGATGGAAAGGGTGGATGGATGGATGGATGGATGGATGGATGGGGTGGGGGGTAGGCGGATGGATGGATGGATGGATGGATGGATGGATGGGTGGATGGATGGATGGATGGATGGATGGATGGAACACACAGCTGGAATGCGTCCCAATGGGGTGTTTCTGGGCAATGTATGATGGCTTGCAACGTTGATTCACTGTGCCAAAAATGCACGTCTATGTCTATGTATGTATACAACTATAAAATGCCTAACTTTCAGTCCTCTCAAACAAATAAAGTAGATCTTCAAAATAGCTTGTGCATACATATAGCATCTGGCGCTCTCAACACTTGCATCCTTGCATCAATCCCTTGACAAGTTGTGGTAATGGCTTTATCCTATTTGCATGTTCCATGTGCATTGCTTCGACAATTCTGAGCCATTTGCAGGCAGGCGACGAACTCATACCAACACATAAAAGCAATCATAAAAGTCATTCTATCTGCTTGATCTGTTTGTAAGGGTCGTTATCTTTTGTTCTTTTTGCGGGCAAGCGATGAACTCATATCAACACATAAAAGAAATCATAAAAAGGCATTCTATCTGTTTGATCTGTAGTAAGGGTCGTTCTCTTTTGTTCTTTTTGTGGGTTTTACAGGTGCAACGGCATTCTATCTGGGTCATGATTTCATGATTGCGGCACCTTACCTGCGGTTTGCTGAAATCATCGAAAATCGGCATTGGCATTTCCCAAACCGTCATTCTAACTTTCTGTCCTCGAAGAAGCATTCAGTGAGCTCTGCAGCACGGTTTCGGAATGCAAGTGTGAGACAAGTTCTGAAAGTCATCTTCGAGCATGAAAGTCTGATCAAAGCAGGGGTCCAAAACCGGACTTTGAGGGAAATTCTCTACTGCATAGGAGTAAAGACTCAGTGTCGGCGCCCCGGTGGGGTACACACAGCTTACCACAGTGGGGAGAAGCTGCGATACACACTTGAGAAAAGTGCTCCGTGGAGCGAAGCTTTAGGAGTTCACAGTGAGCATTAAGCACTTCAATATTCCTTAGTTACTGCAATATGGCAATACCAGATTAGGGCGCTCAACACCTTGACCTTCAAAATGGCCCTGTGAGGAACGGAATGGCGAGAGTGTCCACTAAATCAACAAAATGTTTGTTAAAAATTGGTTCAGGCACGTTCGGAGGATCAGTCCGAATGTCCCACTCCGTGGCGTAGCTTCGTTGAATTGGGTCAGTCACAGTGTGCCCAGTTCCCCTGCTGAATGGAAAGCTCTGCAGATGTAGTAATGAAATAAAAATGTAGAAGCCCTGGAGACGGGAATTGGCGCAAAAATGCCTACAGCAGCAGCTTCTGCAGCAAGTGACGAGCGGACTTTTTCTGCTCTCAAACACACTCCGTTCAGCAACTAATCATGACGCAAGCAAAAGCAATGAGTTGAGATGGGGCAGGCTGGCGATAGCATCAAGTAATTCGCATCCAGATTGTTTGGGCATGGCGGTGCAATGACATGGTTTCTGTCTTGGATGTAGTTCTGGCTTCAGGATTTGTTGCAAACATGCACTTTCAGCACTGACCCGGCTTCGCCATAGCTTTGATACCTGGCTGATGGTTTTTGCAGCTACATGTGCCTATGACGATGGCAATTCCAATGCTATGAGTTGTCCAGTATCCACTGCCTATGTTGAGATGAGCTGAATAGAACAAGAAAAACAAAGGCATTGGTTTACCTACATTGCGCGCGGCTCCATAATACCGATGATTTTGTTAGCCTTCAGCGCAAGTTCACGAGCAATTTTCTTGATATTTCTCCATCTAAGTCTCAGACATCATGAAAGCCAGCGCGCCCAGCCAAATGCAAAGCACTCCTTGATCAACCAAAACTGCATTCTCACACGGCACGCAACCCCTCTATCCCGTAAAGTCTTTATGTGGAGCCCTACCGAGGCCCATGCTGCCCCTTCCGGTTCAGGACGCCGGCCTCGCATGGTTTTTGGGCAAGGACCATTTGGTGTGTCCGTTGAGTCCATTGCACCTCTGCCCTGCGTTCCACGAGCAAGCGGCAAATTTCCTTGGAAGGCCTTAGTTGCAAGTTTTTTGGCGGACCACTATGATCGCAGCAAACAGCTGTCATCGCACAAAAGGTTTCAGATACACTACTGTTTGCAGCCGCAACAGGCTGCCACTAAGTGCGCCAAATGTGTGTGCGTGTGTCAAAACCTGTCTCTAAGGAACTTGGCCACACCAAGGAACCCACCATTTGTGATTCGATTCAATGTTTAGCACTTGCATGTACAGTGTACAGCACAGGGGGGGTGAGTCTCATTCCATCCACTGCCCAACGAAGACGGTGGCTTGAGATATTCCCGAGGGACGCCTCAGGAACGTACCTGCAGCAGCCACGCGTGCACTTGGTTAAACATGGTAAAACCATACTGTTTAGGCTGACTCTTTCACCTTATCGTTGCGAGCAGGGCCTTTTCAGGTTTCAGGTTTCCAGCGTTCTAGATGGGTAATGCAGTAACTACCACACGGGGATGTCGCAACAGCTCTTGCCAGCATTGATCTAAGTGTGTGTGTGTGCGACACCCTTGGGCTCAAAGGGAACCTTTTGGTCTGTTAAGCAGGGGGCACAGGTCCATTGTGGATACCTGTGCCAACGACGCTATTCCACAATGGGGGAAGCGGAGATTGATCACCTCCGTGTACCTGCTGATGGTTGCGGCGATTGGTGGCCACCTCCTTCTCTAGGATTCCAAGCTGTTTAGGTTCGACGTTCAAGTCGGCAGACGCACTCGTCGCTCGGAACTTGCCGGTCGACTTTCGGTTTTTTTCGTGCACTTTGAGATATTTGAGATTTATTAATGGAGGCCTTCATGTTCAGACCGTCTTACATACTTCTACCCTGACTTCTTAGGTCGGTTTTGTACCTCGGTGGGTCAATTCCGTACGCAATATCCCGATTTTGTTGTGTGTGTGTGTGTGTCAACTCCTGTTTCCCGCATTTGTACAGGGTTGCGAATTTATTTCTGGATTTTTTCGTTTTTTTTTTGATTTTTTTTCGTGTTTCGCGGCAGGTGCAGTACTTTGTGGACCTTGCAAAGCACATTTCGTGGCAGGTGCAGGACTTTGTGGGCCTTGGAGTGCAGAGTTTGTGGCAGGCGCAGGACTTTTTGTGGGCCTTGAAGTGCAGATTTCGTGGCAAGTGTAGTACTTTGTGGCCCTTGGAGTGCAGATTTTGTGGCAGGCGCAGGACTTTGTGGACCTTGAAGTGCAGATTTCGTGGCAGGCGCAGGACTTTGTGGACCTTGAAGTGCAGATTTCGTGGCAGGTGCAGGACTTTGTGGGTGTGGAAGTGTAGAGTTGGTGGCAGGTGCAGGACTTTGTGGGCCTTGGAGTGCAGATTTCGTGGAAGGCGCAAGACTTTGTGGACCTTGAAGTGCAGATTTCGTGGCAGGTGCAGTACTTTGTGGATGTTGAACTGCAGAAAGATAGAAAGATAAATTGATAGATAGATTAGATAGATAGATAGATAGAGGAGGCATATTTGCTTGGTTAGAAAGTTTTGCACCGGGGAGTTCACCTAAAAATATTGATTCCGTGGCAGGCGCGGGTGTCGGGGATGAAGTGCAGATTTCGTGGCGCGGGGGGGGTTGGGGGGGGCGCAGCGCCCCCCCCCCCAGCAGCACACCAGATCCAAAGGTGATCAGCTCGTGCTTGCTTTTTGGTTTCATCTCTGCAACGAAAACAACAGGAAAAGCAAATACAAAAAGAGAAAGGAGAACAGCTGCCAAAAGAAAGAAAGAAAGAAAGATAGATAGATAAATAGATAGGTATAGACAGATAGATGGATAGGCCAAAAAGCCAAAAGCCACAAAAGCCACAGAAGCCACGAAAGCCACGAAAGCCAAAAGCCACAAAAGCCAGAAGCCACGAAAGCCACGAAAGCCAAAAGCCACAAAAGCCAGAAGCCACAGAAGCCAAAAGCCACAAAAGCCAGAAGCCACAGAAGCCAGAAGCCAGAAGCCACGAAAAACAAAAAAAAACAAAAAAAGAAACAAAAAAGAACAAAAATAAATACCCCTCCTTTGTACAGTTCCGCAGTGGGGCAGTGGACCACGATCACTCGCTGCCCACCGAAGACAGTGATAGTTTGGTCGTGATATCCACAAGGGACGCTTTCTGGACGTACCTGCAAAGTTTTTAAATCCAGCTCTTCATGTGTCACCTTTGTTCTAACAATACTGTTGTCGCGGAATACCGTTCTGCAAGTCAAGCACTAAGTATTCATCTAAAGGGTTAACGCACTGGAATTCAAAACTGATATAGCTCTTGCGAGCATGGATCTCAGTGTGTTTCGCAACAGGGTCACCGGCATTTCGGATCTGCTTGATTCATTCCTGACTCTGCGTCTTGCTCGAGATTGCTGGTTCTATGCTGTAGAACTTACTGATAATGTACTCCAGAATGACCTATCATGCGGCTAAGTAGTCTTTAGCAGAATGACATGTCGGCTAGTGTGATCACATGTGATCCAATTGTTTAAACAAACTGAATAATTCATGCACAGTCTTGCTTTCTCTCCTTCCTTGTTTCTCTTTCTAGGTCTTTCTTTCGTTGCTAGAGGCTTGTTAGGTTTCAGGTTATAAAAATTATAGTGAAGGGAGCGTCGATTTCGGCATTTTGGGTGTCTGGCTATGTGCCTTTCAACCACCCCTGCCCCACACGCACACCCCTGCACCCCCTTTCTCTCCTTGCCTTCTTTCGTTTGTTAGGTCTTTTCTTCAGGCTTGTTAGGTTGCTGTTTAGACTCGTTTTAGTCGATCCACACTCCCCCACCCCGCTCCTTCCCTCACCTTACCGTTCTGCAAGTCAAGCGCTAAGTATTCATCTAAAGGGTTAATGCACTGGAGCTCAAAACGGATATAGCTCTTGCGAGCATGGATCTCAGTGTGTGTGTGTGTGGGTCCTGCTAATCTTGATTATATAATTTTGGCCGCCTGCGGGTTCCCTACGGTGCTACTTACCACTCACTTGTTCCCACATGGCAGGGAGCGGGCGATTCTGTGACTGACCATGACAGACCTAGTTTAACACAGCTGGGCCACGATACTGATCATCCAAACGTGCTTGCACAACTTTGGGTGCCACAAACCCAGCCCGTTGAACACAAGCTGCCACTAGAAAAGTCACTGCTGCATTTAAGCCACTGCGAGAGGGTCGAGGCCACTCATGAGTTTGAAGTCCTTATTATATTTACTGCCCTGATTTGTAGGCCGCGTGTGATCTTTGGATGTTCGCGCCTACCTCATCGTTTGACAGAGTTTCATCACCTGCGCGCGTGCGCGAAAAAAAATGCTGCAAGAAGAATCTGTTTGGCGCACGTGCGGGAAAGGCAACAAAACCAATACCAGCAACAGGGACATCGACAACAAGCCTTATGGCATCGCCGATTTGCGAAGCTCTACAAGAAGCTTGCTCAGGAAACATTGGTCAACATTCAGTAATCACCATGAGTGAGCCATACTATCGAGGTTCTTGCTTGCTGAATGCTGAATATTGCGAATGCAAAGGAACTAGGAGTTACGCCAATCACGAGATGGTAGTATGTCATAGTATGTGTCCAGAAGTCCTGACGCATCTGACCTGTCGCACTTTCACGTGCACACTGCTACCACGAGCGACGTCACATTGGATGAAACCATGTTCACGATGTTCACATGTTTCCCGCAAAATGTAATTGCTAGAGTTTTGACAGTGTCGCCAATCTGACACAACCAGGCCGCAACCTGAGGAGGTTCTCGTTTACCACATCTTTCTCGAGTTCCACTCAACTCAACCCATTCACAGAGTCAGAGCGTGTGTGTGTGTGTGTGTAATCAACTGCTGGTTGCATGCATGAATTTGGTGGGTATGCTAATGTCAACGACTGAACTCAATCTGAATCTTAACTGTCGTTTCTGTTGGCGATGATGAAAGTTATCCTCACTGAGTGAGTGTGGCCTTTCACGGATGTAATACACAGTCTATCAAACTACTTGAGAAGTTTGAGTACTCCAAATGATTGTAAACTGTATGTGACATGTTCACTCCTGATTGCACGATTTGCTTACAGTCATCAAAGCTTGTAGGGAGCTGGAGGGCCTGCAGGGAATTTCGCACTTCTGAGGCCAACGAAAACAGCTACAACATTCAGTGATGTCACTGGAGACATTTGGTGACGTACCTGCTCATTTTGCGTCAGCTGGTACGTGGCTGAGCCCAGAACTGAAATAGGACGACCACATGCACAGTTTTCGTGACGATGTTGCAATTCCTACCATTCTATATTATGAATGTTTTCACGACGAGCTTCGGGACGACGTCAATTTACTGTTCCTCACTTCCCCCATCCGATTTCTAGTGTTTCGAGCGCTCATGGGTGTTATCCGACCCCGTCAGTGAGCCATGGACTCGCCTAGAGATAAATACCCAATGGCGGGAGGCGCATGGCGCGTTTCTTGGGACCACCAAATCTGCACGGATATAGGAATGTGCCCGTAAGGTAAAAAAACTGTGGGATGCGATGATACGACACCGCAAAAACATGTCATTTGTATTCAATTCTGGTTGCACGCACATATTCTTGCATGCCCATAGTGGGATCCAAGTTGCATCTCCTACTGACATCCAATTGAACGTTCAAAACATGTTCCATCGCTACGAGCCAAACAGCATTTGATCCCGGACCTATGCCCCTTGCGCAAAGAACAAAGGTGTCTGTCTATGTCGGTCTGCTGCATCCACCTCACCAGCCAACAGAACCCTTGTTCGCACCATCAAGAATATCACAATGTGGAGAATCTTCCTACACTCTATGTTCCATGACACTGGGCCATAAGGTCATTAATTAGGGCCCTGACATCCGCCTTTGAGTTGAGGAGGACCTTGCAAAGCTCAGCATTCCTAAGTAACTGCAGTTGACGAAGTTGGCACCACATGGCACCACCAAGGCGCACTTTGAAGGCTTCCCAATTTCTGGGTGTTTCTTACCAAGGGATGCACCCATCAAAGACTGCGATGTGCAAGGCTGTGACCTCAGGAATCATACGCTTGGCAGCACGCAATTGAGTAACCAAACAGAGGAGAGAGAGAGAGAGAGAGAGAGGGAGAGGGAGAGGGAGAGAGAGAGGGAGAGAGAGTGGCTCAAGATTTGGGCTCAAGCTGGGACTGTGCCGTGTGGTGGCACTACGTCTGTCCCTTTGCGGACCCAAAGGACAGGAAGAACCCTACAGGGAGGAGATCGTGAAGGTCACCATCACCCTTGCCCGTGATCGAGTTTGAAGAGACCTTTGTCCTTGAGGAGCGAGATGGTGGCACCTACATGGGAAGGGTGGATGTACCCTAAGCGGCGTAGGCAGAGGACCTACCTTTGCTGTCAGGGATGCTCAACATCATGGATCTGGGCAGATCGGATCAGTGCTGATCGATGGAAGTGTGACAAATGCAACCTGGCATGGCCGCAGAATCCATGGAATAAGGAGAAGTCCGCATCACCCAAGCGACGTGGTTGACCCCGACGAGATCGGAGTGTTCTTGTGGACAAGCCGCCTGGACTGGGACAAAGGCCACAAACCTCAGGGGTGGAACGGGCACTTCAGAAAGGATGGACAGACTAGCTTGAGCAAAGATGTTCAGGAAGCCTTGAAGGTGGTTGGCATTGACTACACCCCAGAACCCGAGCTACAGCCGTTAGAGGAGGTCTTGAAGGCTCATATGGAAGCCCTCCCCAAAGAGGTCAAGGAGGCAGTGGAGAATCTGCTGGCCCCTGTGAAGCAGGAGCCAAAGGATGTCACTACGCAGCTGAAGACAACAGTTGGGGAGCTTCGCCAGTTGTCGAACAAGAAGGCAGGGCTCCAGAAGCGGGTGGACACTGCAAAAGAGCAGTACAAGACCCTCCTTGATGAGTTGAAAGTGGTTCAAGAGATGATCGACAAGGAGCAACAGCAGTTGACAGCGCAGTCGGCGGCCTATGCCAAGCTGTTGAAAGAAGAAACCAAGGAGGCGGAAGCTCATGAACCTACGGTAGATGATGATGTGAATGAGCATGTGATGAAAGCTCTTGCACAAGTGGGTATTCTGTACACAGACTCCCAGAAAACAGAGCTTGAACGGCAATTGGCAGAGAACATGCTGAAGCGCCGCAAGAAGGGAGAGGGCCAGCCGTCAGGGTAACCCTGACCGCAGGCCTGTGCAGGATTTGAGCGAGGAGAAAATGAGGAGGACCAAGCAGCAAGTTGATTTGGGGTCTTTGCTGCAGTTAGAACAGTCGGAGCAATTGCACAGTGATTGCATTGGGGATCGAACTTCAAACCAGAGGGAGTGTTTGAACGTGTGGGTTGACCCGGGAAGCACGTTACCTTGTGGGGATGCAAGCAGGCATGCATGTGAGTGGATTGAGAGTTGTGGCAGTGCCTTGGAATGTGACAGCCTCTGTGGGTATGAATGCTTTCAAGGTCGACAGCCGTATGTTGCATGTGAAGCCTATTGTGATACACCTTTCAATGAGTCAGGACATCACATGTGGCATAGCATTGCTTTGGGTGTGGATCATGAATTTTCTCGTGTTTTCACTCCAGCTAGCAGCGCCTTTCGTGCTATGATGGATGGCACTGCGGGCGACGGACTGACCATGGATGATGAAAGGGAAGAAGGCTACAATGAGATTCTGTTGGGGATGAGGAGTACTCTGAGTATGCACCAAGGGAGTACCCCCTCACTCCCTCGTGAGCCTGACCAGGTCCTGACCAACACCTCTGATCCAAAGCAATTGGAGGATAGCTTGATTGGGAACTCACCTTGTGACTGCAAAGACACAGAAGCAAGGTTGGGCTCAGGCCTTTTCCGGGAGTCCCCGGAACCTGCTAGTCTTGAGCTTGGAGTGCACTGGGCACCGGGTTTGCAAAGCACAGAGCGGCTAGGTGCGCCTAGACCTGCTGTAGGCGGGACCCAGCAGCACTCTGAGTCAAGAACTGGCAGCGGCTCACAATGTGCCTTACTTGGAGGAGGCAAACGAGGGCACTCACAGGATGATGTGTATGAAGATCCTGAACACATGGAGGAGCACATCACGCCAGGTAAATTACAGGACCGTTTGCTGGTGTTGCAGAGCAGAGCTCTTGATGCAATCCAGGCCTTGCCGGCCCATTGCAGGGATGGTTTTGGTTTTGACCAGGTGGAGACTAGAGTCTGGTGCCTAGAGGCCCTCAAGCATGTACTCAAGATGCGCCTGGCCTTGCAGAGCAATTTGCCATTGACCAGACCGGTCTACCATGAGCCGGAGATTCCACCGGCCATTGAACTGCTGGCTGCGAACCTCACTCTGAATATTGGCAACAAAGGAAACAGATGCTACGCCAACACGGTGCTCCGCATGTGGTGCTGGATGGGAGCCCACCATCCCAAGCCACAAGAGTTCTGGGGCCCTTCAACAAAGTTGTGTCTACAGCTCCTTCAGCAGGATGTCATTGAAGACATATTCTGGGCTTCGGAACTGCAACCAGCCATTGCCAGATTGGAAAACCCTCAAAACCAGCATGATGCGTCAGAGTTTCTGGTCCACCTGTGGGAGCTTTGGGGTCAAACTGGCTTGCAAGGCAACTGGAGTGCACATTTTGGTGGACGAGAGCATGAATTTGATACCATCCCTCTCTTTGTCCGCATGCCAGTGGAAGCGGGTGATGAAGTTAACTTTGAGCAGTTGTTGGCGGAATGGGCCAATGAAGGCAATGGCCAGTGCCTTGGAAGTGAAGTTGAACACATTGTGTTCCATGTTGGCAGGTATTCGCTCTCCACCACTGCCAAAGAATGGGTTAAGCATCACAGGTCATGTGGGCCACACCACCTGTGTGCTGAGGGGCATCATTGCCCATCAAGGTGAAGAATTGATCTCAGGACACTACATTGCCATGTTGGTTGAAGGTGAAGCGGTCTGGGTTGTTGATGATGGTGAATGCCCACAAGTTCAGAAGGAGGTTCCAGACAATATCAAGCGGGGGGCGGTCATGATCTGGGCCTCACGTGCAGAGCAGAGCAACTTCTGGTCTCAAACAGTTGGCAGGTTTGATCCACCAGCCAAGAGGATGAAGACCTATGGAGGCAACATTGAAGTGTTCTATGGCAATGTCACTCAATGGAACCGAGATGTCAAGGACTGGCTGCTTCAACAAGACATCCAGATTGCCATGATGGTGGAAACGCATGTGACAGGGCATAAAGCTGCACTAGCTGGACAGCAATTGGCGAGAAGCCGGTGGAAGTTGGAAAAGCTCGATGCTTTTGAGACGGGCCGTGGTGGAACTAGCGGGGGCCACTTCTTTTGCTGCAGGGAAGGGCAGTCGACATATCGCATCCACCAGTATGACAAGGAAGGAAATGGATTCCTGGCTAACGTCCTTCAACGCCAAAACTGGGAGGTGGTGCTGGTGTCAGTATATCTCCGGACAGGAGAAGATCTGAACTCGGTGACAAATGCAATCATCCTTGGGGAATTGGCGGCCTTCCTAGGGGAACTTGCAGTGCCCTGGTTGTTGATTGGAGATTTTCAGGTTCCTCCGGAGCAATGGGCCGGGCATCAACTGCTGAATGTCCTCAAAGCGGAGGTTGTCAAAGGAGGTCAACCAACTATGATCACTGGTGCTGAACTTGACTATGTGATAGCCAGCCGCACTCTGACTCCGTTCATCGACATTAAGGTCAATTGGGATGTTCCGTGGAAGCCGCATGCAGGATTGGTGGTGACCATTGACAGTAGAGCCCCAAGCCTGCATTTGCCGCAAGTCACCCAGTATGCTGCCATTCCAAAACTGCAGAGTAGCCCAAAGCAATGGGAGGATTGTCAGCCGTCCCCAAAACCTTACTGGCTGGGGAGACAGATTGGGCCAAAAGAAATCCAATGTGCAGAGTGGTGCCATTGTGCTGAACAATTCACCCTGCAGAATCTTCATGAGCCCAGGATGGGCAGAGGATGGTACCTGGCCATTGAACTCAAGCCTTTGCCGCAGACAAGGCCGTTGACACCCTGGAGGCGTGGAGACCTGGCATATTGGGGGCAATTCTGCTCGTTGTTGTCACACATTGAAAGTCGGGGTGTGGTCAGCCAGAATGCCATGATGCACCTGAGAGCCAAAGCAGCCGATCTGGAGATGAGGTGGCAGAACATTCATGGCGATGTTGACTTTCGTGAAGCATTGGAGGCTCTTATTTCGGGTGAGTCCATGCCACTGACGGTGCTTGTTCGTGGCGCAGAAGCCAATCAAGACTTTGCCAAGAAGGCAGCACTACAGCAGCAATCACAGGATTTCCAGGCCTGGCTTTCTCAGGCATCCTTGAAAGGACGCAGTGGCATTTACAAGTGCCTTAAAGCTCCCGATGTGGTTCATGTCAGGCCTTTCAGGAACGTGCCGGTCCAAGACAGACAGCAACTGCGGGAGCAACAATGGTATGCACGCTGGAAAGTCATCGAGCAGCCCAGAACCAGTGCTGAAAGGGAGCGCCTGAGATGGGGGGGCATTGTGCAGGCCAGAACGTGGGAAGACTTAGACCCACATCAAGTCAAGAAGAAGTTGGCCAAATTGCCTCAAAAGGCCAGTGGACCGGATGGAATAAGCTATGCTTTGCTCAAAAACCTGCCGCTGGAAGGTGTCACTGACCTGTGCCACATGTATCGGCAATGGGAATTATATAACTGGCAGGCTTCCTGATCAAGTTTGCACGACATTGGTGGTGTTGCTGCCAAAGAAAGAGGACATTGAGCGCCCCATCAGCTTGACAAGTGTCCTGTACCGCACGTGGTGCAAGCTTCGTTGGAGCAAGCTGCGCGAGTGGCAGAGCGGTGTTGGGCAGAGACTGCCATGGGAAAGAAGCATGCCTGGTATGCAGGTGCTGCATGTGGCCCTTATGCGCATGCTTAAGTGTGAGGTTTGCAAAGCAATTGGCCGCAACGTCATCTCCCTGCTTGTGGACTTGCAGTGCTTTTATGATTCAGTGGCACTGGAACAGCTGCTTGGGCTCTGGGAACCGTTGGACTTCCCACCAGCGGTGCTCAATGCAGTCTATGAAGTGTACTCTGGTCCACGGATGCTTCAGGCAGAGCAGGTCACATCGAGGGCAGTTCAATGTGAGCGCGGCATTTTGGCTGGTTACCCTGTGGCCCCGCTCATTGCCAAGTTAGTCTTGGCCCCTGTCATTGGCCGTTTCAGTGAAGCATTCCCTAGAGCTACGGTTGATGTGTGGGTGGACGACATTTCAGTCGACTTCGTTGGGAATGATGTGCAGTTGTTATGCAGAGAAGCACTGAATGGTTATGAGCAGTTGCGGCAGGGGCTGGAGGAAATTGGCTTGCAGCTGTCCAAGGATAAGACAGGGTTCCTGACTTCGTCAATTGAGCGCAAGAAGAAAGACCCTGAATCTTTTTCGTCGTGATGACCAGCCGAAAGTCCACGACCTCCTGAAGGATCTTGGCTTTGACTCCAGCGGGGGACGCCGTCGAAGAATTGGCACCCAACAAAAGCGCCTCCTCAAGGGCCGAGGAAGTTGCTGCATTTGAAATTGCGCTCCCGGCCTGTGAGGATTCGAGTTTGGAAGACCTCAGTCCATGCAGCGGCAGGCTATGGCTTGGAAGCACAAGGGCTTGCGCCCCAGAGGATGCGTGTCCTCCGTCAGCAACTGGCAAGGCATGGGGGGTTGCAAAAGGGTGGCAGTGTGGACATCGTCTTCGACCAGCATGCCAAGCTTCAGGATCCCAAGGACACCATTGTCGAACGACAATTGAAGGCTATGCACCAACTGCTCAAAGCATGGCCGCCTGCACAACTTGGGGATCTGAAAACTGCATGGCGCATATCCTGGAAGCGGCTGGCCACGGCAGCCTATCCATGGATGGTTGTAGCAGGACCCATGGCAGCTCTGCAGGCCTACTTGATGGACATGGGATGGGAGGCTGTAGACATGGACGATTGGATCAGAGCACCCACCTGTCTCATGCCGCCACATCAGTTGAATCTGGAGCATCCTTGGCCACACCTCCAGCGTCAATTGCATCTGGAACAGCAGCATCAGCGAGCTCGGCGGATACAAGAACTTGAGCACTGCTTCCCGCTGATGAGGAGGCCGGACTGGACCATCTATCATCGAGTGATGCGCAAGTTGAAAGGGCCTGCGAGATTGGCAGTGGATGCTTGGACTCACAGCTCTCTGAGGACTCATGGGGGAGGAGATCGTGTGGTGTGCCCCCTGTGTCATGTCCCTGTCACGATGAAGCACCTCATCTGGGAATGCTCCTATCATGAGGAGGCCCTTCCTGATGCATGGAGGCAAGACATTCGAGCCAATGATCACTCAATGCTGTGGTCTCGTGGTCTAATTGAAGAGCCTGACTACCGGCCAGTGGTTGGCATGGACTCCCTGGAGGTGCATGGAGTGCTTGCTCATGGATGGCCGGTCCGCCTCAATCCAAATCAGCGCCTGGCTATAGGTGTCCGACCCACGTGCAAAGATGGCAGGCTCAAACGCTATGCAGTGGCCATCACAGCAGGCTTCTGGCAAGATGGTTCCTGGCAACTCATTGGAGCTTGCACATGCATAGCCCCTGGGGAGGCAACAGAGGCAAGAGCATGGTTCTTCGGCTGCTGGCTGATCCTTCAAACCACTTTGGGGCGTCACCAAGTCAACATAGCCCGGCGGTCAGCAAAGGCAGCAAGGGCACTTGTGCACCTGAAATGTGGCACAGTCTACCAGAAGGTGAATGGCTGCGATTGAAAGTGCTGCATGTGCCCAAGAAGCTCCTTCGAGAGACAGGAGATGATCAACGTGCCTGGCTCCAACATCAAGAAGCCATGCAATGTGCCCTCACTAGAGCAAATCGTGAAGCGCCGCATGAGCTCAAGCTGCAGCTCCAGGAGGATGACAAGTGGTATCAGGCAGTGTATGAAACAGCAGCCTTGAGAGTCAGTACCCTCCTCACTGACCCGGAGCACTACATGAATGGGCATGTGGAACCTGTGGCAGAGCCATTCAAAGTGAAACAAGAAAGGCCACGTGGGCGCCTAGATGTACTTCGTCGGTTGAGCCAACATGAGCCAACAAGACACCGGCCCGAGCAAACATCAATGGCAACTGAAAGGCCATGGACTGAGTTGCCAACAATGCGGCCTGCACATCAAGAGCTGCTCCACGGCCTGCTCCCTGGAGCTGCACCAAGAGCTCCTCCAAAGAGGCCACGGTTTGCCCAGGAGAGGAGGATCATTTCCTCAAGACTCTGACCGAAATCATGGAGGACATGATCGCCACTTCGTCACTGTTGACAGAAGACCAGCCTGGGCATCGATGGTATGTCAGGGCCAGTTCCTTTGGGTGCAGCCGCTGTTGGCTCAAAGTGGCCAAACGCTGTGGCAAGGAGGCGCTTCACAAACTTGCCAATGAGCCCTGCCAGTATGAGGTGGTTGATGAGCAGGCGCTGAACCTGCGCATGAGAGTGCATACTCAGCACCAGCTGATGAAGAGAGGCCAATGGGTTGAGTGCCAGAAATGTGGTAAGGTGACGAAGCCCCATGACGGGAAAGCTCAGGCTTGGTTGGGCCAAGAGTGCACTGCTGCTGGAAGGCAGACCAAGCTTCGTTTTGCGCCGGCCAGCTCGAGCAGCTAGTCCTGCTGGCTTGAAGCCAGATGCAGGGTAGCCTAGTTGGCTACTTTGAGTACAGGGGCTACAAGGCGAAGGAGCCTTGGCCCAGCCGCTTTTGCCTAGAGGCGCGGCTCGTGAGTGCGGAGGAAAGAACCGAGCAAAAAAAAAAGAGAGAGGGAGAGAGCCCTTTGTGACGAGAGAGTCTCCCCAGTCCATCTGATCTAGCAGTGCAAGATCTTCGATGGTAAGGGGCCTGAACTTTCAGAAGCCTGGAAGATCAAAATTGCAGAACATAAAGGAAGAGAAAAAATGAGAAAGAAGGAAGGTAACCCTTGACCTTTTTGTGTTCATCTACGTCCTTATGTTACATAAATAGGCTCTTTTCTTTCTAGAAAGCCCGGCAACTCTTCGGAGCGGAGCGGCGTCAACTAAATGGTCTGCAGACCTGCTGTTCACCCTCTCAAACAATGGGCAGCCATTGCAGTTGGGCATTGGACTGAGGAGAGCTTTGTGGTTGATGGAGTGTGCATTGCCACCATGCTAGGCCAACAACGAGCCAATGTCTAAGTCTGTCTATGTCTATGTCTGCTGGCTCCTCCTCAAGGTGAAATGGGTAACGGTAAGCCGGGTAAGCACACATGCAATGTGCCTTCAAAGTGTTCAAAGCTTCAAGAAACAAGGCACGTGGGAGCTTGTAGCTGATCTTAGGCATAGTCTTGGCAACCGAGAACGGCAGCGTTTGCATGTGGTTCATGCTACGGGGGCTCAATCGAAGGCAAGCCGCCGACAGTCATATGGGTCCAGTATGCTGAAGGGTGAAGCATGGGCCAGGGCCAGTCTCCTTCTGCAAGAGCGAGAGCAACACATAGATCTGTCTGAGGGACCGGTGGGTGTTCAACAATCTTAGGATCCGTCGAGGGTGGATATCTACCAACTCCTGGCTCAACGTCCTATGGAACAGCTGAGGCTGAAACATCATTAGGCATTGCACAAGGGGGTGAAATGCTCCAAGTGCAAGCCGCGCATCAAAGTGTGACGAAAAGCAAGCTCAGGAGACAAGCATTGAATGCCAGAAATGGACATTGTCCATGCCACATGATGGTCATGCAGGCATTGGCAAGAGAAACATGCAACTTTGAACCCTGCCAACCTGACGATCCCCCTCTGGCCACTGTTCACCCCCCTTCTCATGTAGCCCATCAGATGAACAGCATTTGCAAATGTGACGAAGTGACAGGATTGAAGAAGTCAAAAGAAATAAACAGCCACTCCTACCACGCAAAATTGCCCTGAGAGCCAACCGACCCTTTTTCCCAATACTGTACCAGTTGAAAGGCTTGGTGCAGTACTGTTTGATGAACCATCGTATTGTATTTGTTGCTGTCCATCGTGATGTGTCATCGTTTTTGCTAGCGTGGCGCATCATTGATAATTGTTTAATTTAACGGTTTCTCATTCGTCTTGTCATGCACATCTTGTTTGTGTTAGCTAGCTGCTACCAGCAGTTCTGGTGTCTGTGCGTTTGGCGGTCCATTGTTGCCTAAATATTGCCTTTTTGGGACCAAGTACGGCTTGGAAGTTGCACTGGGCAAAAGCATTGCCAACACCTGGTGATTCATGCAAATACCAAATATGTAAATGGTTTTAGATTGCACTTCCATGGTAGGTTGGGACGGCCGCAGTTGAAGGAAGTGCGTCACAAGACCGGCACAAAAATCAGCAATGATGTACAACGCATTTCTTCAAGTCAATGGGGGCCCAACGCCTTTTGCATCAGAATCATTGGCACTCGCACTTGAGCGTAGCAATAGTCTTGCCTAGGCGATCTGACGGGGATGTTTCCACTCACCAAGGACAAAAATCCAAAGGCAATATGTGAGTGTATATAATGGTAAATAGTATACATATATATATATGGTGGTTGATCAACATTCTTCATCCTGGAATGGCCCTTCTTCGCGGAAAAAGAATATGTTTCGCGGCCCCATCGCGAAGCATGGTCCTACAACCATGCCTGGCCAACATGAGCCGGAACTATTCATGTTTGCATCACAAAATAGGGACTGACATCTTGCAGCGTAGCTTAGAATAGACTATGACTAGAGTTAGGCACAGCTCAGCACAGGGTGATGCAGCTTGGGGAATGTGGGGGCCCTCAAGCTGGGAACCTGGACTTGAGCGGCACATTCGCGAAACTTTCGCGGATCTTTTCCAGGAAGGCGCAATTTTTGCAACATCTCCGCAGCCCGTCAGAGCAGTGCCTACTCAGGCCACTAGTTTGTGACAGTGGGGACAGGAATCGGAGAATCCTTTACGCACTGCGGGGGCTGGGCAAGGAAATGTTGAGGCTCAGAACGTTGATGCTTTAGTTCGTTAGCCTGCGGCAATGGGGGCATGCGGGGACACTTCCGCTCACGGGCTCTGCCGGCGAGAGGTTTGCCTTATATTTCTACCATTTGTCGGTCGGTGGAAAGGAAAACATATGAAAGCGAAGACCTTCGATAAATCTTCCGCGGATAAAATGACAATGAGTTGAACTTTCTCAGCACAGGGTGGGGAACCCGCCACCAACGAAAACACTCTCGATTTCCTGTCGCTGGGGCTGATCATCCCAGCACACCTGCGCCGTGACCCGGTTATTTCTTACTTGGTTCCTGCTTTTCATAAGACCACGATCGTTTCGTTGCGCCGAGCTCAGCAATCACGTTGCTTTTGCTTTTCCGCGTTATTTGAGGGGGCTTTGAGGCTATTTTTTGGACTCTTGTGCCTCCGTTCTTTGGTGTCTTTGAGGCTACTTTTGGCCCTGGTGTGAGCCCGAAGTACTGTCCTGCGGCCCGAACTGAGGGGTGATATCGTTGCCTGTCTGTAAGCAACAACAGCTGCCCATACAAGCGGCGTACTGAAGTCAACCCACGTCGCGTGAAGTCAACTCACTGCGTGGGCACAAGGTTTCAGCGAGAAGTCAACCCACTCGCGTGAAGTCGACTCATTTTGGTTAAAGCACAATGGGCACACTTGAAAAATGAGCACGGCAGGAAAGTGGTTTGCTCAAGGAAAAGTCTGCGCACACTGTGTTATGGCTGGCATTTGGCCTTGCTTTCTAGATGTTTCAAGCCCAAATCTCAATGGTACAGCACCATTCACACCAATGCACAACTTAGAGAATGGGTTGTATGCGAACACACACTCTGACATTCTGACATTGGTTTTCTGTTAATCGATTCCCAAGTGGAAAAAGGTGAGGGAACAGCAAGGCGAGCAAGTCAGGTCACTTGAAATGCTGAACAATTGTTGTACTCAGCGGTCGAACTCTCGCGCGGCTGACTGCAACTCACGAGCGGCTGAAAGCTGCGGAGGGAAACCTGTTTTAGGGAAGGTATCATGGACAACCACCATGGAATCAAACTGTGGAAGAGTGGAGTAAAAGCGTGTGAAGAACTCTGCAGGTACGTCGATTTGGCGTCCCAAATCGATATCACCAGCACGCATCCAGTGTCTTCGTTGGTGCAAGACTGGATGGGCTGCTTGCACCACCTGCTTCGAAACAGAAAGGAAACAGCCCTTAGGAACAGGGTTTGACACACACACACACACACATGGCCGATATCGGCGCATATGTGTGGAATTCCGCAAGGCATCGGTTTTTTCGTAGAAAGCGCCGACACTCAGTGGGGTTGTGTCCCTTTAGGACATAGAGCCTCACGAGTTCCTCAGCTGCTGCCGTTGCTGTGGTTGGCATGTAGGCGTGAAGCAAGGCCTGACAGAGCGAGGCGCTGGCTCCCGGCGCTAGTGGGGTCCCGGATCTTCCAGGGTTGATTGGGTTGAATGTAGGTGATTGTGCGTTGGGGAAGGTAAATGTTGAATCCCAGGAGCCCAGGAGGTGGAAGTCCTCCACGGTTTCCAGCTCGACGGGATAGCCAAAGAAGTTGTGGTGGATCAAGGTTTGGATGGCTGGGTGGGAGAGGAAGTGTTCGTTGTGTACAATGAAGCGGTTGTCGACATAGCCGTAGTAAGAGAAGTGGAGGGCTGTGTGGTGGAGGAGGTTGTTGTGGAGCTGGTGCCAAGAGTGTTCGATCAGGGTGATGGCGACGTTGCATAGGGAAGGAGAGAGTTGGGAGCCAATCCCAGCCCCTCGAATTTGCTTGTAGGTGTTGTTGCACGCCCGGAAAATACAGGTGTTGAGTGCAAAGGCGACGATAATGGTGATGTCGGATGTGTGGAGTGTGCGTTGTGTGGGACGCTTCGCGTGGTGCCGGCCGACAAGGTTGCCGGCCATGGAGTGGTAGTAAGAGACTTGAGAGGAGGGAGACACGAAAGGTAGGACAGCGGGAAGAGAAGAGAACGCGAGAGGCAGGAACAAAAATGCATAATGATTTATCCCCTCGGAGGACCTTTCGTAAATCGTAAATATATGTTCATATGCACTCTAAATGTTCAAAAATATGCTCTCGAAATGTTCAAAAAGATATAAAAAGATTCTTAGGAAAACAAACTTGCCCCATGGATCAGATCATCGGTGAGCATTGCATCATAGGATTTGAACTACCCTGAAACCATAAGAGGCTCACGAAGACGCTCTCCAGGAGAGAGTTGAATTTAGGGGGGGGGGGGGGTCTGTATTAAAATCATCTAACAAGGGGGGGGGGGGGGGTGGGGGGGGTTGTATGGAAAAATAAATTCGGGGGGGGGGGGTTGAATTGAGTGATCAATTATTAGACCCGGACGTCCCAACACTTGCTTCGCAAGACAAACTCAAGGTATCCCCTAAAGGGCTACCTTTCGTGATAATGGTGCGGCCCTTTTGCCATTGGTTTTTGGCTTTGAGATGGAAAATCCCATAGGGAATGGTGAAGTCTTTGCGGAATATCGAGAACGGAGGCTCGGTGGAATGGTAGCTGAAAGGTGGTCATGGATGTTGGCTGATGTGAGGTGTGGTAGTGGTTCAAAAAGTTCAGGGGCTTGCCATGTGTTGAGTGCTCCATGTGTTGAGTGCGCGGGCCCGCCCCAAGCTTGGAGAAGGTGTCCTTCCAAGTTTTGTCCTGGGATTCAAGCTCTTCTGGTGAAGCAGACTCCCTGGCAATAGAGACCCCAACGACCCGGTTTCGCCTTTGGGGAAGGAGATAGTTCTGGGTGTCAACTTTCTGGTAGCAGAACCTGTGGCCCAGTTTGTGGAGGTCTTTGATGACGGTGTCGACCAGTGGTGGCTGTGGCAGCCCGTTCTCGTCGGAGATGCCTGAGCGGTTGCGGGAACGTGGATGGTGCGGGTGGCGCTTTGGAGCCTTTTTATCTATTTATTGTACCTTGCATGGCGACCACTATTGTATTGTCTCAAAGAATATAAATAAGCATATGGTTTCTTGCTCCAAAGCCACCGCTCTTGGCAGGCTGTTGACTTGGGCCCATATCCTATCTACTACGCTGTTTCCCGCATATTTGCACAGCAGGCATATTGAATATATGCTTCCTTTGAGTGTGCAGGGTTGGCAGAAACTCTTTATATTAGGGAGGACGGCACAAAATGCACTGCTAGTGCATAGAGGTGCTTGGTGGTCAGTGGAATCGCATGGAATCGCACAAGACCATTTCAGAGCGGGAGGGGTCAGTGAGTATAACTAGCCCAACGGATTTCCATGAAAAGGAACTGTTATCATGATTCAGTGCGTCCTTGGTTTTCTATCTATTGTATCCCCAAGGGTGTGGAGACATCACAAGCGTCTCCCACTACCTAAAGACCTGAACCCTCCCCAAATGAAACTGGCTGCAACTAAACTTGATCTCTCCTTTGCCTTTCCAGCTGGCACGTGCAGCCCTGGTGCGCAGGCACAGGCAGACAGTGCAGGTCAACGCAAGATGGTGCCTTTTACAACCCTACTCGGAATTAATCTATATATATATATATATACAAAATATGTATATATGTATAGGTTGATGGATCTAATTATGTATACATATAGAGATGTTTAGATCTAGATAGAGGGTGGTAGCAGAAACTCTTTGGGAGGATGGCGCAAGATGCACTGCGAGTATATAGGTGCTTGGTGGCCAGCGGAATCGCGCAAGACCATTCCAGCGCGGGAGGCATCAGTGAGTGTAACTAGGCCGATGGATTTCCGTTAAAGATCTTTTTATTGGTTTAATATGATTCGATGATGCATCCCTACTTTTCTATCTATTGTATCCCCAAGGGTGTGGAGCCATCACAAACGTCTCCCACTAGGTAAACCTGGGGGTCACCCCAACTGACCTTGGTCCCTGAATTGCCTTCCAAGCTGGCGTGAAGCCCTGGAGCACTAGATCGCTGGGAGGAAAAGACAGGCTCGAAAGACAGGATGCACCTTTTCCATCTTCTGTACCCAGCAAGGTGGTGAAGAAGATGTTTGTTCATGAAGAACGACTGTCGCGCGCACACCCATGTGTATATATTGGTGTTGTCCACAACATACTAAGTGACTGAGAAAACCAGGATTGCAGTCGCCATACTGGTAGGCTCTTCAGGATGGCCAATAAATCCAATTACCAACTTGCATGCCTGTGTACTGGATTGGCGTTTGCGCATTAGTGTGAGTATGCGCTGGCGGGGTTGGTGCCTGTTACATGTTACTGTTGTATATAGATGGTAGTGACCCCCCTTTCCTTTGATTTGCAACTTTTTCCACACAGCTGAGCCATCCCTGCGGCTTGACGCAAATGACTCAGATGAAACCAAAAGGGTTGGCGTCGGAATCACTTCTGTTTGTTGAACTTCTTCAGGCAATTCGCACACACTGGCAATTTTTGCGCGTTGTGGGATGGAATGCAGCCCGGGTAGAAGTGAACCTGCAAGCCAGGGCAGGAGACTAAATGCAATTTGTATGGTTTTTGCTAATTCTACAGTAGATTGGGACTGTTCCAAAAGTGTCTCCACCCATGAAAGGCCATGAGTGGCCATGAGCATCCATGTGTCTTGGCCTCCAACCTACTTGCAATGGCCTCCAACCTTCTAGCAATGGCCCCTTCTTTTGCGTTCCAACCTAGACCAAGTTCAGATAGGCCCTGTTGGTGTTTGGCATGGTCTATGTTGGCCTCCACCGTGCTAAAAGAGCTGTCTAGTTTTGCACCTGCAGTACCGGTAAGTGACTTACTTAAACAATCCAAGCTTCACTTTTTGTATAAATTGGCTGACTAAAACATGTTCATTTTGAATACTTTTTGTATCGGAAGCGGAGGTCCCCGGAGATACACTGCTACAAGTAA